CATATATCACATATATCACATATAACACATATATCACATATATCACATATAACACATATAACACATATATCACATATATCACATATAACACATATATCACATATATCACATATAACACATATATCACATATAACACATATATCACATGTATCACATATATCACATATATCACATATAACACATATATCACATATATCACATATATCACATATATCACATATAACACATATATCACATATATCACATATATCACATATAACACATATATCACATATAACACATATAACACATATATCACATATATCACATATAACACATATATCACATATATCACATATAACACATATATCACATATATCACATATAACACATATATCACATGTATCACATATATCACATATATCACATATAACACATATATCACATATATCACATATATCACATATATCACATATAACACATATATCACATATATCACATATGCCATATGCCAGTGAAAGTCACTAAACCACTAAATAGATAAGAGTTAAACATTATGAAACAAAAGGCTGAGGAATTTTTGTTCTTTCTCTTTCTGTCTTAGCTAGTTTTTCACATTTATTTTACTTAATTTTATTTTCTTTCATGATATGATTTCTTTCTACACATCAGGGCGGATCTACTTAGCGAAGTTCAGTCGGGGTCACCATCTAAACTGCCGACGACACGCACAGTTCTAGTCCTGGGTAAGCTTTTATGTACTCTTTCTTATTATTTCAATGAGCCACTAGGGTGTAGCGGTTATATACTCGTGATGGTGTAGCAGGGTTGGTACTGGACATCATCTGCTTACAGAGACACAGAACCACACGTGATGATGTAGCAGGGTTGGTACTGGACATCATCTACTTACAGAGACACAGAACCACACCTGATGGTGTTGCAGGGCTGGTACTGGACATCATCTGCTTACAGAGAGACTGAACCACACGTGATGTAGCAGGGCTGGTACTGGACATCATCTACTTACAGAGAGACTGAACCACACGTGATGGTGTAGCAGGGTTGGTACTGGACATCATCTACTTACAGAGAGACTGAACCACATGTGATGGTGTAGCAGGGTTGGTACTGGACATCATCTGCCTACAACTCTCTGCAGGCATCCTAGACACTGGTTGCCAGCCAGGGTGCAAGCCAACGTAGACATCCTTGATATTTCCTCTGAAGTCGAAGTGTATCTGCCTGAGAGGCAAGGAAGCAACATGCAGTGAGTGGGAAATCCCAGAAATCAGAAGGGAGTTTCCCTGTGTGACAGGTTAAGGGTCAGGGGACAGTTACTTTGAATCCACAGGACAACAGAAATAGAGGAAAACTCTTCAAATAAGAACTTTTTTTTCTGTATTCACATTGATTGCTTCCTTGACAGTGATTTCTCCCTTTGCGGTGATTTCTCCTCTTGCAGTGATTTCTCCTTAGGCATTGATTTCTCCATTTTATAAGGATTTCTCCCTTTGCTGTGGTTTATCCCTTTGTTGTGATTTCTACCTTTGCCATGATTTATCCTTTTTCCATGATTTCTCCCTTTGCAGTGATTGTCTACCTTTGCAGTGATTACTCCTTTTGCATTTTTTCTTTGCAGTGATATCCCCCCTATCCAGTGATTTCTCCCTTTTTTCAGTGATTTCTCTCTTTGCAATGATTTCTCCCTTTGCAGTGATTTCCCCCTATCCAGTGATTTCTCTCTTTGCAATGATTTCTCCCTTTGCAGTGATTTCTTTCTATGCAGTGATTTCTCCATTCATATTGATTTATATCTGTTATCTGAAGACCAGCAGAAACAACGATGGACAGAATGTTTTAAAGAAGTATTGAATAGAACAGAGTCTGACATTGTTCCCAACCTGGATAAAGAAACTACCACGCCCCTGTGCCCAACCTGGATGAAGAAACCACCACGCCCCTGTTCCCAACCTGGGATCCAGTACACAAAAAAGACAAGATAATGTATCAAATTTTATAAGAAAGCGCCGCTGGAACTACATCGGCCATCCACTCAGAATGGATAAGACCAGACTCCCCCATCAAGCCCTCATATGGACACCAGAAGGGAAAAGAAGACCAAGAGATGCCACCATCAGAGAAGGTTCAGCCATGGACCTAACAAACATCCAAGACCTCAAACAGATGGCAAAGAACTGCCAGACATGGAAAGCTATGACCTCTCCCCTTAGCGCCGCCTCAGGCTCAAGAGGAAACACTAACTACCACACATTGATTTCCCCCCTCCCCCCCCCCACCACCACCACATGGAATTGATCTCTCCCCACCGAGAAAGCAAGCAACATTCCAAATATGATTCTCATCCTTTGCTGTTCTTCTGCAGGTGACAATGAATCAGGGAAGACTACTCTCATTGCAAAACTTCAAGGCGTCGAGGAGCCAAAGAAAGGGTCCGGCCTGGAATACTACTATATTGATGTCAATGATGAGTATAGAGAAGGTACGTTTCACCTTGCTAGATTGGTTTCTTTGCTGTATGACCTGTCTCAGGCTAACTGACTTGTCCTTTATGTTATGTTATGTTATCATAGTTGAGGCCACACTGACTTGTCCTGTATGTTATGTTATGTTATCACAGTTGAGGCCACACTGACTTGTCCTGTATGTTATGTTATGTTATGTTATGTTATCACAGTTGAGGCCACACAGACTTGTCCTTTATGTTATGTTATCACAGTTGAGGCCACACAGACTTGTCCTGTATGTTATGTTATGTTATCACAGTTGAGGCCACACAGACTTGTCTTTTATGTTATGTTATCACAGTTGAGGCCACATTGACTTGTCCTGTATGCTATGCTATCTTATCTCAATTGAAGCCACTGCACATGGGGCATTCCCATGTCTGTTCAGTCCTCAGATGCAGCAGCCATCCTAGACTGCCTCTGCTGATTGTTTCCTTGGGAAGTTGATTATAATGTCTCTTAACTTTATGCTTCAGGGGTAGGCATGTTTGACAAGGCTCAACTCCCAGTGTACAGTGGTATATTCCATGTAGGGTCCAGTGTACAGTGGTATATTCCATGTTGCTTCCAGTGTACAGTGGTATATTTCATGTTGCTTCCAGTGTACAGTGGTATATTCCATGTTGCTTCCAGTGTACAGTGGTATATTCCATGTTGCTTCCAGTGTACAGTGGTATATTCTATGTTGCTTCCAGTGTACAGTGGTATATTCTATGTTGCTTCCAGTGTACAGTAGTATATTCCATGTTGCTTCCAGTGTACAGTAGTATATTCTATGTTGCTTCCAGTGTACAGTGGTATATTCCATGTTGCTTCCAGTGTACAGTAGTATATTCTATGTTGCTTCCAGTGTACAGTGGTATATTCTATGTTGCTTCCAGTGTACAGTAGTATATTCCATGTTGCTTCCAGTGTACAGTAGTATATTCTATGTTGCTTCCAGTGTACAGTGGTATATTCCATGTTGCTTCCAGTGTACAGTAGTATATTCTATGTTGCTTCCAGTGTACAGTAGTATATTCCATGTTGCTTCCAGTGTACAGTAGTATATTCCATGTTGCTTCCAGTGTACTGTAGTATATTCCATGTTGGTTCCAGTGTACAGTGGTATATTCTATGTTGCTTCCAGTGTACAGTAGTATATTCTATGTTGCTTCCAGTGTACAGTAGTATATTCCATGTTGCTTCCAGTGTACAGTGGTATATTCCATGTTGCTTCCAGTGTACAGTAGTATATTCCATGTTGCTTCCAGTGTACAGTAGTATATTCCATGTTGCTTCCAGTGTACAGTGGTATATTCCATGTTGCTTCCAGTGTACAGTGGTATATTCTATGTTGCTTCCAGTGTACAGTAGTATATTCCATGTTGCTTCCAGTGTACAGTAGTATATTCTGTGTTGCTTCCAGTGTACAGTGGTATATTCCATGTTGCTTCCAGTGTACAGTAGTATATTCCATGTTGCTTCCAGTGTACAGTAGTTTATTCCATGTTGCTTCCAGTGTACAGTAGTATATTCCATGTTGCTTCCAGTGTACAGTAGTATATTCCATGTTGCTTCCAGTGTACAGTGGTATATTCCATGTTGCTTCCAGTGTACAGTAGTATATTCCATGTTGCTTCCAGTGTACAGTAGTATATTCTATGTTGCTTCCAGTGTACAGTAGTATATTCCATGTTGCTTCCAGTGTACAGTGGTATATTCTATGTTGCTTCCAGTGTACAGTAGTATATTCCATGTTGCTTCCAGTGTACAGTAGTATATTCCATGTTGCTTCCAGTGTACAGTAGTATATTCCATGTTGCTTCCAGTGTACAGTAGTATATTCCATGTTGCTTCCAGTGTACAGTGGTATATTCCATGTTGCTTCCAGTGTACAGTGGTATATTCTATGTTGCTTCCAGTGTACAGTAGTATATTCCATGTTGCTTCCAGTGTACAGTAGTATATTCTATGTTGCTTCCAGTGTACAGTGGTATATTCTATGTTGCTTCCAGTGTACAGTGGTATATTCTATGTTGCTTCCAGTGTACAGTGGTATATTCCATGTTGCTTCCAGTGTACAGTAGTATATTCCATGTTGCTTCCAGTGTACAGTGGTATATTCTATGTTGCTTCCAGTGTACAGTAGTATATTCCATGTTGCTTCCAGTGTACAGTAGTATATTCTAGGTCGTAAGATCTGTTGGTTAGAGCTGTACTAGTAACGTGAATGTGATGAAGCTTGATCCTGATACTGGTCAGATGTGTTACTTGTCCTACAACATCTTTGTCAATTTTCTGATGGCCCACATTTCAAAATCCTCACTATTTACTTCATCTGTGTAGCCATGTCAGACTTGTAACTCCATACAAGAGTGTTGAATGTACAGCATTTTATTGGCCTCAGTGTCTGTTTCTGTGGTGTTTTAAGATGTCTGAGAGTGGTTACAGAATTCTATTAGTGGTTAAATAAAGTGTTGACTGACTTGTTACTTTTGCCACTGATTACAGAACAAGCCAGATTGAACGTGTGGGTGCTGGACGGAGAACCGCAGCACGCAGGCTTGCTGAAGTTTGCCCTCAAGGAAGACACGTTTGCTGATACGCTGGTGATGCTTGTGGTATCCATGGCCCAGCCCTGGGCTCTCCTGGAGTCACTCAACAGATGGGTGGAGGTGCTTTCCGAACATATCAACAAGTTACGGATCCCCGCTGAAACCATGCGGGAGTATGAGCAGAGCTGTATGTGTTTCTGTTGTGTATGTCCAGATTTTGTATTTGTGTGAGATAAGTAAAAGAAGGAGACAGTCTACATTATTTGGTCTTGTCATGAGAAGAAAACAAATTGTTCAACCTGTCACTGTTGAAGTTGTGTCATTGTTAAACTTATGTCTGGTTTAGTTTCTGACTTTCTTTAAATTTCTTGCCTCGCCTTGAGTCTCCAGACCATCATTATGTAGGGTGCTGCGTGGTCTCAACGCATGGTGTTCCCCCTCAAGTGCTAGAGGTTCTGGGTTCAATCCCCAGTAAGGGCTGGGATTTTTTCACATGGACTTGGTCTTCTAGTGATTCCCCCTGGTCTCTGGGTAGTGAGATCAGACGCCCGTGTGTATTGTTGCACATGTAAAAAATCCCTTGGCAGTTGGAAATCGAAAAGAGTAGCCTAATGTTGCTGCCTGGGCAAAATTTGGAGTTACAGAGCCTGCGCACTGTGCTAAGCTTCTTTGTACTGAAGATGAGTTAGAAGAAGAACAGAGAACTTATGGGTTACTACCCATGTGCCATGATGTTGATCCTTTGTTCACACTTCAAACTATTAATATGTTTATATTTCAGTGATACGAACATTCCAGGCTTATACAGAACCTGGGGATGGCCCTATAGCGATCCAGCCACATCCCAGAGGGGAGATCAATCCTCTTCACCCACCAGCTTCAGGGTCAGAAGAGGAGAGTCATCTGCCCTTGGGAGATTTAATATTATCCAGAAATCTAGGAATTCCTATAGTTGTTGTTGTAACAAAGGTAATTCTTAGATTTGTGTTATTTGTTTATTTATTTCATGCCAGACTCAGCGCAAGCGGCACCTGGCAGCTTTATCTGTGTGCCTGGCATAGTTCCTACAGGATAATCATTTGGTTTGGTTTAGTCAGGGTTCGTCGAGAAACTATATTGGCTGTATACTCCGTGCCTGCAGTGGTCGCTGTGGCGAGAACTGTGGACAGAAACCAGACATACTGAGTGCACTGTGTTCCAGAAACGTGAGACTAAGAAGTCAAATATGATGAACCGCTTGTTGGAAATGTGGATTAAACAAGAACAAACCAGTGCCAGTCCCATCTACTGAGCTTCATAGTTTGGTTTTGCAAAGATGGGTAGCTCTTATTATATGACAGCACCATTGCATTTTGTATATTCTTACTGTAGTTCAAAGAAATTCAAAATTGTCAGTGTTCAGATAATTATCAATGTTTTATGTTTTTAACAACCTCCTTCCCCAGTTCAGAAGTGCAGTTACATCTGACACACTGATGTTGCTGTGTGTTTCTCATGTGGCTTCCCTGATCTTTGGGGGTCGGGGGAGATAAACTGAATGTCCTTAACAAGCATGATGCAGTAGTTGACTGACTGGAGGTCTTTCTTAAATCAGATGTGTGGGGCCAAAGTTGCGGATACTGCAGCCTAGCTGTAAACCACAACATAGTGTACCAGCCAACCCCCTTTTAAGGGTAAATACAGAAGAGGAAGAAGATTGCTGCATATGATTGCTGGTTGCCTTGATTTGACCCTACAGTCATGCTATTCGAAGACTGTCCATGCCGTCTTCAGCATAAAGAAAGTAGACATTGTCTGTGCCGTCTTCAGCATAAAGAAAGTCGACATTGTCTGTGCCGTCTTCAGCATAAAGAAAGTAGACATTCTAACTAACTTCTTGTGGGAGCAGCCACCTTAAAGTGGCTGCTGCATCGGAGGAGTGTCGTGGCTGCTGCATCGGAGGAGTGTCCAGAATGCAGTGGTGTCAATTGTTATAACATAACATAAGTTGACTTGTCTTATATTTTGTTTGTCCATGCACAGATTGACGAGATCTCCAATTTAGAAAAAGAACAAGATTTCAAGGAGGAACATTTTGATTTCATACAACAACACATACGTAAATTTTGTTTGAAGTGTATCCTTTTTTTACAACTGTTCCCCCCCCCCCTCTCCGTACCTCACTAGGTTTTTCCGTGCCTCACTAGGTTTTCCCGTACCTAACTGGGTTTCATTAGATCATGTTCATTTATCTTGAATCTGGGTTAGTGTGGTAATTTGTTTGTGATGAGGTGAGAGACCAGAATCAGACACCCTTGACAGTTTGCTCATTACAGAGCAAACTAGCACCTACTGTACACAACAGTCCTGGATCGATAACAACAACTGGTACACAACAGTCGGCGGCATCAGATGGAAGTAAAAGACACTTTTCATTGCCTTTAACGGCCTTTTTCTTCTTTCGTTAAATAAGTTGTCTGTATCAGTAATTTTGTCTCTCGTGTGAATTTCACTGTCGTTTTTAGTTTGTTCAGTGGTCCATAGAGTTTACGTTTCACTGTTTTTCTGTCTAGACAAAAGGTTTGCCTCAATGTACCAAATTCTGTGCAGTTCTGGAGTACATGATGTGCTGTCTGGGGCATCTCTCCACGGCTGCACATGTCTGACACACCTATCTTAAAATGTGTGTACATGACCTTGAAGTGTATAGAAATTGTTTATAACCCTAGCAATTAATACATCAGTTCCTTTGAAGTTGGACTGCATCTACTGAAAGGCAAGAAACCAACAGTCTGCATCCAAATAAGCTAGATCTGTCAAATCAGGGTCCAGAAAACACTCAGGTTCTGGAATGAGACTAAAACCAAGAGGTAGACAAACAACTAGAATTCTCTGCTGGAGTTTACAGCTGGTGATTGCGATGAAAAAAAAAAGAATAATACACCAAAGAGGACCAGATAGGTAGTTTGGCCAGTGTTGCATCTGCTGCCCCATACCATAACATAAAGAGTCCAGTCCATTACATAAAGACCCCATACCGTAGCATAAAGTGTCCACATGACTTCATGAAGACACCAGTCCATTACATAAAGACCCCATAACACAGCATGAAGAGTCCACATGACTTCATAAAGAGCTGAGTCCATTACCTAAAGACTCCATACCACAGCTTAAAGAGTGCACATGATTGCATGAAGAGCCCAGTCCATTACATAAAGACCCCAATACATTACATAAAGACCACAGCTCATTACATAAGGACCCCACACCACAGCATGACAACCCCTTATGAAGACCCCAGAAGTGGAGAACAACATGTTGGTTAGATCTTAACTAGTGGACAGATGGTGCTGCCCTGTTCTACACCTCGGTCAAGGACGAGAGAAACTGCGACTTGTTGTACAGGTACCTGGTACACAGGATCTACGGTTTTCCATTCACATCTCCAGCGCTGGTGGTGGAGAGGGAGTCTGTGTTTGTGTGAGTATCTGTTTGTACCTCTTATCACAGAACCTAGTTGTCCAGTCACATCGCAGGTGTTGGTGGTGGAGAGGGAGTCGGTGTTTGTGTGAGTATATGTTTGTGTCTCTTATCACAGAATCTACTTTTCCAGTCACATCTCTGGCACTGATGGTGGAGAGGGAGTCGGTGTTTGTGTCTCTTATCACAGAATCTAGTTCTCCAATCACATCGCAGGTGTTGGTGGTGGAGAGGGAGTCGGTGTTTGTGTAGCTGACTAGTAACAATGTATGTCTCATTGTCACAGCATATGTGTATGTATATGTTTCCGTCACAATTCACCTGTATAAAAACAGCAGAACCAGTTGCACAGTTACCCTGTTGTGTGTGAACTAAAAGTAGCGATAAGTATGCCAGGGGTCAAAGTGTGCAAGGACACATTGAAGTTCATAAAATGGTTAACTGAAGTGAGTGTAAAAACTTGGGTGGCATGAAGTTTGTGGGGGCAAGTTTTGCTAAAGGAATCTTCAGGGAACAGGGTGGCCACCACAAAGGTTGTATAGAAAGTGAGAGAACAGGGTGGCCACCACAAAGTTGTATAGAAAGTGAGAGAACACGGTGGCCACCACAAAGGTTGTATAGAAAGTGAGAGAACAGGGTGGCCACCACAAAGGTTGTGTAGAAAGTGAGAGAACATGGTGACCACGACAAAGGTTGTGTAGAAAGTGAGAGAACAGGGTGACCACGACAAAGGTTGTGTAGAAAGTGAGAGAACTCGGTGACCACGACAAAGGTTGTGTAGAAAGTGAGAGAACATGGTGGCCACCCCAAAGGTTGTATAGAAAGTGAGAGAACAGGGTGGCCACCACAAAGTTGTGTAGAAAGTGAGAGAACAGGGTGGCCACCACAAAGTTGTGTAGAAAGTGAGAGAACAGGGTGGCCACCACAAAGTTGTATAGAAAGTGAGAGAACATGGGGGCCACCACAAAGTTGTAAAGAAAGTGAGAGAACACGGTGGCCACCACAAAGGTTGTGTAGAAAGTGAGAGAACACGGTGACCACCACAAAGGTTGTGTAGAAAGTGAGAGAACAGGGTGGCCACCACAAAGTTGTATAGAAAGTGAGAGAACAGGGTGGCCACCACAAAGTTGTGTAGAAAGTGAGAGAACAGGGTGGCCACCACAAAGGTTGCATAAGAAAGTGAATGGTGACTACCACGACAAAGGTTGTGTAGAAAGTTGGAGACCCATGTAGAGCTGACCGCTGGTAATAAACCCAGTGACTGTTTGATTCAGCTGCTTAGTTTGGTTGTATACAGGAATATTCCTGTCCGTTAAAACGTCTGTATGTGAGTTATTTAATCCCGCTGGAGCGCATACCCTTGGCTCCCAGGTCACCTCGGCCTTACAGGGGTTCTGGGAAGTAAAGGCAACCGGCATGATGTTGACCACATCACCGCTGAGTGCTGATTGGTGTATATAATATAGGTCTAGCCCTATATGCCCAATCCGCCTGGAGGTGTTGAAAAAAGTCATTTGTTTGTTACATGCCCTAGATACTTTGCTTTGATGCAGTGTCATCTCTCTCTCGTTGCATACAACCTGAAATCTTCAGGATAACCTTGTGTTCCTAGCAGTTGTGGTGTCATGCTGCTCTCTATCTCTCTCTCTCTCCACAGACCGTTTGGGTGGGACAACGAGAAAAAGATCAGTATCCTCTACGACAACATGACCACGATGAAGCCAGACGACCCTTTCGAAGACGTCATCACAAAACCATCTTCCAGGAAGGTATTTGTTCTTGTTTTTCAACGGAGTCAGTTGTCGAGTGTGTGTACGTGGGATTGTTTGTACATATGTGTACGTGCGTGTGTGTAACTGATGTCAGGGTTCTGATGTGCTAGATCAAGATGTGTTTATCTGCTATGAAACTTCAGTGAGGTTCATTGCTGCAGGTATTGTCCGCCTCCACTGATCTCTGTGACTCATCTCTTTTGTGTAGCCAGTTTTTCTCTCTCTTTTCTACAATTCTCTCTATATGCCCCAACCATTTTGGCATTTATAATGCCTTGTCTGGGTATATAACACTAGGGTTTTGACCTACGCCCTGCTCAGACCATAACTGCTCAAGTTCAGATAGCAGAAATTAGGCAGACAAAATGTTTTCTTTTATGAGGGTCAAGAGGGCAGAAAGAGAGCTAGTTCCTCTCACTGTGGTTCCTCTCACTATGGTTCCTCCATTATCTAGTATATGGGAAATCCTATAGATACACATCTGTCCAGACATGTTTATAGATGATGTTGACTGTTGCAGGTTGTTCAGCGAGATGCAGAAGTTCTAGCAGAAGATGACCAGGTTTTTCTCCTGAAGATGCAGACTCAGTTGTCAAAACAACCAACGCCAGGAAGTTCTCCAGCTGTAGGTATTTTTGGCTTTGTTTGTTTATAACTGGCATAAATGCCTGGGGTTTATCAGGGCCCATAAGGAAAGCAAAGAATACCAACACTAAGTTGTCATGCATGTCATAAAAGGCAACTGAAGGAGGGGAGCAGGAGTGAGGCATGAGACTGACAACCTCATACAATAGAATTTTACTGGTAAAATCCAGCCAGTCTTGAAGAAGTTTACCTAGGGCTTGGTGTAAATGGGATGAAGGATTGTGGGAGATTCAAGGTAGGAGAAAAACTCACATTTACCGTGGCACTTGTTGCCCGTGTGGGTTGTGGGGGCTGACTGTGAGAGGAGACAATCACAAACCTGCTGCCCCTCAAGAAGCATGTTGTAAGAGTCGACTCATTAGAGATGTTTTCTTCAGTCCGAGTGCCTCTGCCTGCTAAGTGAGGTATCAACAGTCTGCATACAAACAAATAAGCCAGATCTGTAAAAACAGGTGTGCAAGCATAACTCAGGTTCTGGAACAAATTGAAGTCCAAAAGTGGAAAAACAACCCACCAGAACCTTCAGCCGGAGTTTACTGCCATGAATGCAAAGAAGAAGTGGCTGTTGTTTTTGCTTGGAGATCTTTAGATTATTTCTTTCTTCTCCCCCACCAGCTGCAAACTCTGGCAGAAAGTTCTGGTTGTTCGTCCACTTCTGGGCTGCAGTCCTGTTCCAGAACTTGAGCGTTGCATGTGCATCTCTTTGACAAATCTGACTAATTTGTATGCAGACTGTTGGTTCCTTGCCTCTCAGGCAGATGCACTCCAACTTCAAAGGAAGCTCCCAGTTAGTCGACTCTTACAACATGCTTTTGGCTAGGCAGTGGGTCTATTCTTGTTTTCCCCATAACAGACCCCAGAACCCACACGGGTAATAGATTATATTTTTTAAAAAGGATTTATATAATTTTACTCAAGTGATGATGTGCAGACAAATTATTTAACTTAACGCCTTGTGTGGGTTCTGGCAGCCTCATTTTGGGGAGACAAAAAAATGAGACTCGCTGCCACTTTAAGAAGCCTAAGCGTGTCATTTCATGTTTGCTTACATTGGATTTATTGGACGAAAAGGACTGGTTGTGAACAGAAAACAGTGTGCCAACTGTCGTTTTAAGGTTGTGAACAGAAAACAGTGTGCCAACTGTCGTTTTAAGGTTGTGAACAAAAAACAGTGTGCCAACTGTCGTTTTAAGGTTGTGAACAGAAAACAATGTGCCAACTGTCGTTTTAAGGTTGTGAACAGAAAACAATGTGCCAACTGTCGTTTTAAGGTTGTGAACAGAAAACAATGTGCCAACTGTCGTTTTAAGGTTGTGAACATAAAGCAGTGTGCCAACTGTCGTTTTAAGGTTGTGAACAGAAAACAATGTGCCAACTGTCGTTTTAAGGTTGTGAACAGAAAACAATGTGCCAACTGTCGTTTTAAGGTTGTGAACAGAAAACAGTGTGCCAACTGTGGTTTTAAGGTTGTGAACAGAAAACAGTGTGCCAACTGTGGTTTTAAGGTTGTGAACAGAAAACAGTGTGCCAACTGTGGTTTTAAGGTTGTGAACAGAAAACAGTGTGCCAACTGTGGTTTTAAGGTTGTGAACAGAAAACAGTGTGCCAACTGTGGTTTTAAGGTTGTGAACATAAAACAGTGTGCCAGCTGTGGTTTTAAGGTTGTGAACATAAAACAGTGTGCCAACTGTCGTTTTAAGGTTGTGAACAGAAAACAATGTGCCAACTGTCGTTTTAAGGTTGTGAACATAAAACAGTGTGCCAACTGTCGTTTTAAGGTTGTGAACAGAAAACAGTGTGCCAACTGTCGTTTTAAGGTTGTGAACATAAAACAGTGTGCCAACTGTCGTTTTAAGGTTGTGAACATAAAACAGTGTGCCAACTGTCGTTTGTGAACATAAAACAGTGTGCCAACTGTGGTTTTAAGGTTGTGAACATAATACAATGTGCCAACTGTCGTTTAAAGGCTGTGAACATAAAACAGTGTGCCAACTGTCGTTTTAAGGTTGTGAACATAAAACAGTGTGCCAACTGTCGTTTTAAGGTTGTGAACATAAAACAGTGTGCCAACTGTCAATTTTAAGGTTGTGAACATAAAACAGTGTGCCAACTGTCGTTTTAAGGTTGTGAACATAATACAATGTGCCAACTGTCGTTTTAAGGTTGTGAACATAAAACAGTGTGCCAACTGTCGTTTTAAGGTTGTGAACATAAAACAGTGTGCCAACTGTCGTTTTAAGGTTGTGAACATAAAACAGTGTGCCAACTGTCGTTTTAAGGTTGTGTACATAAAACAGTGTGCCAACTGTCGTTTTAAGGTTGTGAACATAAAACAGTGTGCCAACTGTCGTTTTAAGGTTGTGAACATAAAACAGTGTGCCAACTGTCGTTTTAAGGTTGTGAACATAAAACAATGTGCCAACTGTCGTTTTAAGGTTGTGAACATAAAAAACACATGTGCCAACTGTCGTTTTAAGGTTGTGAACATAAAACAATGTGCCAACTGTCGTTTTAAGGTTGTGAACATAAAACAATGTGCCAACTGTCGTTTTAAGGTTGTGAACATAAAACAATGTGCCAACTGTCGTTTTAAGGTTGTGAACATAAAACAATGTGCCAACTGTCATTTTAAGGTTGTGAACATAAAACAATGTGCCAACTGTGGTTTTAAGGTAAGATTGTTTGCATCACACAGTCAAGAATGAATGTAGGAAGAATGAATCCAGAAATCCAACAAAGATGCAATAAAGCCAATAATGTAGGAATGAATGTTTGCAAGAAGTGGGCTGGAAGGGCAGATGTTTGATAGGCCTGCCTGCCCAATTCTGAACCCTTTTAAAGTAGAGTGTATTCAGTCGTTTGTGTGTTCTCATGTGTGTATTAATCAGCTGAACCATTGTTGTCTTCCAGCAGCCTGAGCCGGCTCCTGTGAGGCAGCCGGGACCTCCATCAGTTCAGAGAACACCCGTGAGAAACCCAACCCCGACCGCTGCTGGGGACGAC